TAAAAACTCCATTCCCTTCCACATGTATGTGCCGTCTTTTGTCTGACGTTGGTTTTGGTTCTAATAAGTACGGTAACTTACGTGTGCTTGAAAATGTACTATACATTCAATTTACAGGTTTTTGATGGTGTATCTTGAACAGGTTAATAACCATAGAAAAGCACCAACATCACAAGGCGGGCACATTCTTATGTACGGCTTATACAGACCTGGTTAATAGCTCAACAAAAAGATTACAAAATATTCCTGAAATGCATTTCTTCTTCGGCAAGGTAGATATATCTGGCAGGTTTACCAGGAAATGAAAATGTTAACTACCTACTCATATTCCTCAACTATTTCTCTCTTCACTTCATTAATTCCATTAGTCCTGCCTTGAGTTCATCTTAATTCGCAAAGTTGTTTGAAATTTTTAGATTTTACAGCATCATGTTTATAGTTCTTTTTAAACTTAATATCACTGTTGTTTACTCAAACGCAGAAATAGTAATTTAGGGAACGAGATGTTTTTATGTATGCTTATTTTGTAAAATAAGAGATGTATGATTTTTAAAAGTATGTCCTAACATGACGATTCAAACTATGTTATCATTGATGACAAAGAACAATTAACGATCATAAACAATCTCATACCTTAGAAAAGAATTTGATTTTTTTTTGTTCTTAAATGAAAATGGGACCTGACACATCATCCATTATTAAGCCGGAGCCTTGTAATTTTAGTCCCATCACCTTCCAGGATCGGCGCTTCAAAAGATTCGTGTGTGTGTGTGTGTCTGTGTGTGTGTGTGTGTGTGTGTGTGTGTGTGTGTGTGTGAGAGAGAGAGAGAGAGAGAGAGAGAGAGAGAGAGAGAGAGATTTGGATTTTCACGTAGCTTTAACAATTTTTCAGTCATATTGTTACAATGTCTGCAGTGCTGTCGCTAATAGTTATGTCTACCACTGGGGCATAATTCCGCAGGCATGTTGCATTATGTCCCATCCAGTCACACTAGCTAGACCAGTTCTAAACAAATTACCCACTTAATTCTGTGCGCCTTGAGAGGTAGTTACTAGTACCATTTTTATAAGTTTTTGGTTGTTGTTATTGCTGGGCTTAACGCCATTTTTCAGCACACGATAGGCTATTCATGGCGGCCAGTATTAATGGTGGAGGAAGAAACCGGGAAATCACCGGAAAGAACCACCGACTCACGAGAAGCTACTGGCAAGCTTTCTCACATATCCACATTTGCCGAATCCTAGACTAGAACTCACGCAGACAGAGGTGAGATGGCAGTGATCCGCAACGGGCAGCTCTTTAGACCACTCGGCGACTCGGGGCCCCTATGTCTTTTTTTTAAAGTTTTTGGTATAAATCGGACGGCGTTCAAATCCGCAACTTCCGAGACAGGCGTTCTAGCCCAACGGGAGCGGTCTCAAACAATTGGTCCATCAGGCACTGTTTGGTGCTCTGATGAATCATCTAGTTTTATTTCATAAATGTATCGAGTACACTAGATGGCATGTACATCAGTGTATCTAGTATACTAGATGACATGTCGATGCATGTGAGTATCTAGTACACTAGATGACATGTCCATACATGGGACTATCAAATTCACTGGATGGCATGTACATCAGTGTGTCTAGTATACTAGATGACATGTCGATGCATGTGAGTATCTAGTACACTAGATGGCATGTCTATACATGGGACTATCAAATTCACTGGATGGCATGTACATCAGTGTATCTAGTATACTAGATGACATATCGATGAATGTGAGTATCTAGTACACTAGATGGTATGTCCATACATGGGACTATCAAATTCACTGGATGGCATGTACATCAGTGTATCTAGTATACTAGATGACATGTCGATGCATGTGAGTATCGAGTACACTAGATGGCATGTCCATACATGGGACTATCAAATTCACTGGATGGCATGTACATCAGTGTATCTAGTATACTAGATGACATGTCGATGCATGTGAGTATCGAGTACACTAGATGGCATGTCCATACATGGGACTATCAAATTCACTGGATGGCATGTACATCAGTGTATCTAGTATACTAGATGACATGTCGATGCATGTGAGTATCGAGTACACTAGATGGCATGTCCATACATGGGACTATCAAATTCACTGGATGGCATGTACATCAGTGTATCTAGTATACTAGATGACATGTCGATGCATGTGAGTATTTAGTACACTAGATGGCATGTCCATACATGGGACTATCAAATTCACTGGACGACATGTACATCAGTGTATCTAGTATACTAGATGACATGTCGATGCATGTGAGTATCGAATACACTAGATGGCATGTCCATACATGGGATTATCAAATTCACTGGATGGCATGTACATCAGTGTATCTAGTATACTAGATGACATGTCGATGCATGTGAGTATCTAGTACACTAGATGGCATGTCCATAATTGGGACTATCAAATTCACTGGATGGCATGTACATCAGTGTATCTAGTATACTAGATGTCATGTCGATGCATGTGAGTATCTAGTACACTAGATGGTATGTCCATACATGGGACTATCAAATTCACTGGATGGCATGTACATCAGTGTATCTAGTATACTAGATAGCATGTCGATGCATGTGAGTATCTAGTACACTAGATGGCATGTCCATACATGGGACTATCAAATTCACTGGATGGCATGTACATAAGTGTATCTAGTATACTAGATGACATGTCGATGCATGTGAGTATCTAGTACACTAGATGGCATGTCCATACATGGGACTATCTAATTCACTGGATGGCATGTTCATCAGTGTATCTAGTATACTAGATCGCATGTCGATGGATGTGGGTATCTAGTACACTAGATGGCATGTCATACATGTGAGTATCTAGTAACACTGGATGGTATGTCCATACATGTGAGCATCTACTACACTGGAAGGCATGTTCACAAATATGAGTATCTAGTACAATGTAAGGCATGTCCATGCATGTGAGCATAGAGTACACTGCAAGTCATGCCCATAAATGTGAGTATCTAGTACACTGGAAGGCATGTCCATAAATGTGAGTATCTAGCACATGGGATGGCATGTACATAAATGTATCTAGTACATGGCATGGCATGGCATGCCCATAAATGTATCTAGTACATCCGATGGCATGTACATATATGTGAGTATCTAGTCCATCTGCTGGCATTCCATACGTGTGAGTATTTAGTACATCCAATCAAGGTTCCCTCTAATGTTTCTTGTGTGCGCGGAATTTTGAAACTTGCGCGGCATATGTATTTGCTACCAAAACTTGTGAACAAAATTTTAAAACTGCTGCGCGGCATTTTGAAATGAGCTGCGCGGCCGCGCACCTTAGAGGGAACATTGCATCCAATGGTATGTCCATACATGGAATCAGGTCACAATTAATATTTCCGATTTAGTACCCACGAATGTGGTCCCAGTCTATTTTAGAGCCTAGCTTTTTCCTGTCTCCACTTGGTGGTGATACGAGAGTTAGAGTTAGGCATTCTTGCTTTGGATTTATAGGCAATTTTTTATTCGTTAGAATATGAGCTTATGGTGTGGTTGTTTGTGTGCATTTTGGCGACAATGTACAGTGAGTAATAAGGTCTTGGTCATGATCCGGAAGTGAAATCTGTGTTCCATTGCACGTGGGTTTATTGACAGTCAAGCGTTTCAACAAAAAAAAATGCCGATGAACCTTTGACAAGAAATTCACTGTGAAGTCATCTTTGAAGGTATTTTAGATTAACATATGATTTGCATTGATTGTCACACAGTAGAAGGTTCATTGATGAGAAACAAATGTAGATAATATATAGTTACATTAATTATGTTCTAGGTTTGTCATGTGAGTATTTAATAATTTGCTTCTGATTCAAGATTATATCGGTCTGCCTTCATTAATTTCTAGTTGTCATATAAGATTACATTTGTCGTTAAACATTTTGAGGGCCAATATCCAAATTACAATTGAACAACTAAATAAGACAGTCTTGTGGAGTACCGTCTGTACTTTCCTAAAAATCTAGTCCAGTTGCAAGAACCATAGACCCTGATATGACCTCACATAATGCGCTGGCAGATCAGAGTTTATGTTTTTTCTATTGATTAGTCCTAACAAAATACATCGACTAAGATCTGCAATGCAAATTAAAATATGTGCATTTGGACCAGGCTTATAAGCGAGTACTTGCCATACAGGTCAAGAACAATGGTTTTATTTAATCGTTAATTTTTATATGGCTTTAATATAACAGTGTAGAACAGACATTATGAAATGAAAAGCAAGATGCATCGTACAATTGTTTTAGTACAGATTAAGTAGATTACGAAGTAATATACTGTATAATGTTATGCATGAATCAATTTACCAAATACATAAATCAAATAGACCAGATCAGTTAATCAATGATGTAAACCTTGTGGAAAATTATATGACTATGAGGAATATTTAACATTTAGAAAGCACCAATATTTATGAAATTTTATCCAGTCTTCAAATCTTAGTGGAATGAGTTCCAATTTTCAATGATACAGTTCGCTAATGACATCAACTCTACGGTATTAAGTTTTCAGCATATTTATAATGTAAAGCGTTTTTCTGTTACCATTATTGACGTAAAAAGTAAAAATAAAAGGAAAAGAAGGATGGACCATATTGCTGTCCGTGCATCATCCATCCCTGTTAATAGGCTATTATGTGTAACCGAGCAACAATTCGTTCAGAAAGTTTTTAAGCTGTCAAGCGGTAGATCTCAAAACGGTAGCCACATACATGTGGTTCTTCCTCAACAGATAAGCTTTTACAACCAATTTTTTTCTTTTTGCAAGTGAGGTTATTCATTAGACACAAAGAATGGCTCAACAGGGAAAATTAAACGGTTTATACGTCATTATGTTTTTTCCTCATTTTGAAAATGCATGACGATAAGGATATCCCACGCCAAAATTACAATTTTCGTCTGAATTTTTGTACTTACCAGTGAACGCTCCGGTGGCCTTGTGGTAGAGCGTCCGCCTCGGATGCGGGAGGTCTTGGGTTCGATATTTAGCCGAGTCATACCAAAGACTTATTAAAAAAAAGAACTAATAACTGCATCGCTTTCGCTCAGCATTAATAGGTTAGTGTTAAGACTGGTCGGCCTTGTGACAGGATAATGTGACTGGGTGATAGATACATCATGCTACATGTCTGTGGCATGATGCCCCAATGAAAAACATCACTATAAACTGCCACACTACAGAAATCGTATCGATATGACTGAAAACTGTTAAATGCTACGTTAAATATATGCGTGCGTGCGTGTGTGCGCGTGTGTGTGTGTGTGTGTGTGTGTGTGTGTGTGTGTGTGTGTGTGTGTGTGTGTGTGTGTGTGTGATTTCCTCTTCCAGACATGTAAACAGCTATTTTTTTAAATATAGTTCATTGCAGTGGCGATGGGATGGATTTTACAGTGTGTTGACTTTGTCACTGAAACAACTGGTAGAGATTTCCCCAAATATATGCTATTTAAAATTAGGTGGGATTGATCCCCATCTAGGTAGGTTTAGATGACTCCAGTCTATTGATCAAACCAGACAAGGCCTGTCACTAATAATTAATAGGTTCTAGCATCAGAAGATGCAAAACAACTTGCTATTAAAATGAAAATAAAGCAACATAAATTTGAATAAATAAGAAATAATGAAAATTAAACCAAATACCAAACATGCCGTTCTGCCAGTTAACCAAAACAAATAGCGTAATTGTTGTTTGTCTATGAAAAACAAGTCAACTATTTTTTAATGTAGTAGAAAAAAAATACTTTTATACTAAACATATTTCAACAATAAATTTGGAGACCTGCAATCACCGAAAGTGTATATACTTTCTAAGAACATACATTAACATGCCCACTCCCTCCTCGACTTAATTATAAGTCCAATTTAAATACATGTATTTAAAATATAATACCATACTATGTGTGTGACACATATGCTTCTAATTAAAACTGAAAGCATACACACACATGCACACTACGTGCTGTGTTAGCTTAACAATAATTATAAACAGGGAAAAAAACATGATGAATGAAAAATATTAAAATGATAACAAAAAAAAATTTCTTAACTAAATGTTCTTGCATTGTTCTCTCTCTCTCTTTATATATATATATATATATATATATATATATATATATATATATATATATATATATATGTGTGTGTGTGTGTGTGTGTGTGTGTGTGTGTGTGTGTGTGTGTGTGTGTGTGCTTCAGGGACCCCACAATTTTAATTTTTATATATATATATATATATATGTGTGTGTGTGTGTGTGTGTGTGTGTGTGTGTGTGTGTGTGTGTGTGTGTGTGTGCTTCAGGGACCCCACAATTTTAATTTTGACCCCCCTCTTGATACCAAAGAGTCGGTTTTATTAAGTTTAAGCCCCAATTGTGACACCAAGGGGATTTATATTCTGTCTTGCACTTCTATAAAATACACAAAAAATATAACAAAGGCTGGTCCAGCAAACTTGAGACACTAATAAGTGACTATAGAGTTCTATGATTCTTTTTTCATGGCAGACAACTAAATACATATTGTTCTCTTATGGTGAAACCACATAATTATATAGGAGATACATGTATACATATTTATGATCAAAAAAGGGAAAATTGGAATTAAAATCCAACCAGAAACTGCCAATGTGTATATAAAAAGCTGACATGACAACCGTTACATAGTAGTTCAAAATCTACTTATGCAAAATTCATATCGCCATGATTAAAACTGATATAGTTGCAAGTATGCTGCTAAACATACAGATCCAATTAAACAAATATGAATCAACAGAGAGGCAATATTCAAAGAATTGTATGCGTTCCTTGCTTGGCCCGCCAAAGTATGAAGTATCGGTTTTATCTTCAAACATCTCGTCTCTTCCTGCAAACAAACTTGTATCGCCAATAAATGGTTGATTAAATTAATTTACCCACTGATGTATTAAGCTACAGTTAAAATAATCTCCATCTGAATATTACTTTTGAATAGCTATTTGGGAAAGTATGATTCTACTCCAACGTTCAGGAACACAAAACCGAAAAAGTACATTTCATTTTAACAATCTTGTCAAAGCAATGACACAGCCCTTCTGGATAAAATTTGGATCCAATCATTCTAGTTTATCATTCTATAATTTAAAAGGAGATTTAATTTAATTATATCTTATACACTCCTTTCCTCCCCTCAAAGTATGCATAGCAGAAATGAAGTTGTACCTAACACGTGTTCATTTGTTCATGTGTGTGTGTGTGTTGTATGAATGAATATTTATATATATGTGTGTGTGTGTGTGTGTATATATATATATATATATATATATATATATATATATATATATATATATATATATATATATATATATATATATATATATATACCATATTCCTCTTCCAGTACAACCATCCTTATTATCCGTTTGATTTTATCCATGTTTGTACCCTTCAGGACATCTACATTCTTTCATACACAAACTGCATAATAGATCTGCATGTAGTTCAAGGCTTTGTCTCATCTGTCACCACTTTCTAATCTTGGAGTGGACGTAATCAGTTTACGTTTCCTTGGTTGTCTCTCTTTTCCTGGTATTTCAATTAATTCTCGTTTCCCCTGCCGTCGCATTTTGGTTTTGGTCAGTGCTTCCTTGAGATCTTCTATGGAATTCTAAGGTCTTCAATATTGTCATAGTGGACGTGTGGGCCCAGTTCGTATTTCACCATATCACCAACTTTCTTGAGATCACCACATTCCATAAAATTTGGGAGTTTTGCCTCTGACACTCTTGCCTATAATATATATATATATATATATATATATATATATATATATATATATATATATATATATATATATATATATATATATATATAAGGTTTCATTTTCAAATATTCCTTTCAACCACTTTTCGTGTGAGATCCCATAAAATTTGGGAATAAAGTCATAACCGCCCAAGCTGAGACTGAAAAACAATCACAGCTATATATATCAGACTACTGTTAGTTACTTTGCAAATGTTATTTAATGCAGTAACTGAAGGCATCCACAACTTTGGACTTCTTACATCTTTTCGAGGCAGTTTTTTTACTTAATTGTCTTACTTCTTCCAAGGAAAGTCTCTCTGCATCTTGTTTGCTAGGGCAGTAGAGGGTCTTCAGCAGATTTATGTAGACCCCCGAGTCAATGGTTACACTGAGATTCCCAGAATCTGGTCTTGAGTGGATATTGAAGAGGTTTCTCCTGAAGGTTTCATTTTCAAATATTCCTTTCAACCACTTTTCGTGTGAGATCCCATAAAATTTGGGAATAAAGTCATTACCTCCCAAGCTGGGGCTGAAAAACAATCACAGCTATTTTTTTATCTTCCTTATATCTCATTTCAATAGCCCTGGTTATTCTTTTGATGTTGTAGATATTTAACGTACCAGCACTTCTAGGCTTTGTGATGTTGATATAGACATGATTCTTGAAAATGCCATCATCATATGACAGCAGAAGTATCACAAGAACATAGAAAGATCAGGACTTTTGAACAAATGAACACGTGTTAGGTACAACTTCATTTCTGCTATGAATGTTTCCGTTTGGTTTACATGTACCTTTCAAATAAAGACCTTGCCGTTCAAAATCGGACACTCAAAGTACTGAGCGGAAGCTATGACCGAATCCTTTGAAAAATTAACAAACTGAGAGACTTGGGAAATTTGCATAATTTTCTCATTAGGTTCAGTTTCATTTACAACTTTGCACGCACTAATTTTACTAATGTACTTCGTACATTGTTTCAACAATTATTTACCTGTAGTATATGTTAGAAGCTATTCAATACAGCGTTTATATGCCAGTTAAAATGAACAGCTTTTTTCCGTTATTGTTCTTCAGCTTTGTGTTAGTCCTATTCTGCTAGGTTGCCTTACATAAATAATCGGATTGCACATCTTTTCACTCCTTAGGCCGTCAGTGACCTAAATATCCGACAGACTGGTTAACAACTTTTGCCACCCTTTCAGCTCTTCTGACCTGAAAAAAATCCATGCACAGTGTGATCTTTAAAAAACAATTTGTTACCATCTTTTATCATCATTAGGTCAAGATTTGTTGAATTAGAAGAAATATATGTGCTGATAAATTTACACGGAAAATTATGGGATGGATAACAGATTCAGGATATAAACAAATATGAAAATGATCTACAGTGAAGTGACACGGTTTTAAATTCTTGCATATCGGAAGCTCACTCTTAGCAGTCGCATATTAGGACATGCGCGGTACGTCATAACGAACATGTATCTCTCTTGACATTCTTTTGCTGTTAATAGAGCGTGCATCCGCAGACTTGTCAAACTGGTATATTGTAAAACATTCCTTTCTTCCATCTTGACCCTTCTAAAACGAACTTAAGGAAAAGGAACATTATAAATGAGATTCATCCATCACGCTACCTTTTATGTTATGATGAATCGATTGAAGTTATAAGACTGAATATGTAGTTCCTACATAATAACTTGGGGATAAATGCGAGACTCCATTGCATTGAATAGCGTAACGAAATTGAGATTATAGTTCAGAATTTTGTCAGTTCAATATATTTTTGTTGTGATTTACAACTGAAGACAAAAAAAAAACAAGATAAAATATCAGACAAAATTAAAAAATTATTATATTTTTGTCCAAAATGATTCAGTATAAAAACTATACAGAAAGCAAAACCCACGATTTTTATGAAATGATTCATGCTTGCTAGTGTGTCTTTTTTTTTCCAGCTTGATCAAATCGCTTCCTGATGTTTCTACGCCACATTTGACGTCCAGACTCGTATTTTCTGTTTTTCGTTAACGATATTCATCTTGTTTGTGGAAGAGGCATGTGAGGGTAAAGAAAATAGCACAAATTATGTAATATCTAACCTTTTAAAATGTCGATTGAAAACATTTTCATTTTTTTTGTAACAAACATAAAATTACAGTGCAGCAAATTTAAATACAAAAGATTAAAAAATTAAAATAAAATATTACAAATATA